GATTTAACGATGAAATAAATTAGTAGTGACATTGATAATAACACTAATTGATAGTAACAATATCATATCTCTAAGAACATATAGATGATAACAAATAAAATTCACAATTCGGGATCAAATCTGGAAGAAAGGGAGAGAAAAGATACAGATCTTGGCAAAGGAGACATTGATCTGGAAAAAGGAAGAACAGTGAAAAAGAAGAAGAAAAAAAAGGGTGATGACAACGAAATATCCATTCACGGAGGATGAAAGATGATACCATATTAGAAATATGAAAGAGAGAAAATAAGAGAAAAATTGATTTCGTTAAATAGTGATTAATTTGTACATAAATGAGGCTCTTATATAAAGGAGCAAGAGAAGATTCTAGAATATCACAACTAAACTAAAATAAAATATTTATATCTCTAATAATTATGATGAGCTATGAAGACAGCCTAGAACAATTTCCTTCACATGAAGCATATGTTTGAAGCCCCTTATCCACGCTACATAAGCAAAAATTTGCCTTGGATACCAGTAAACACTTGGTCTAGCTAGTTGAGCCATTAATATGCATCTTTCATATATAAATTACATGTGTGGGTATGCCATGCACATGGTTAATCGTATTTAAGTTGCATATGCAATGTTATATGTCTACACAGATGTTGTGCATAATTCGGAAGAGATATTATTCTTAGCATTCGTAAGACTTTGTTTGCAATAGAAGAATCCGATGTTATCTTCATAAACCTTATGTTAAAGAAAGGGCAACAAGTTAGCTTCTGAATACAATATTACTTCAGAAAAAATATATTGAAAGACGACCTACTTAGTGGCTTCTATAAGTTTATATGTACATTGTTTTTTATCTTATCTGATGGAATATATAGTACAGTTCAATAATTTACCAATCCATGGATGCCGTGTTTACAAAAGTTTTTTCATAAGAAAATTAAAAACATCTGTGACTAATTTATTTCAGAAGTATATGTATATATATTCATATGGAATATATATTTGGTACTAGTTACTAGTTATTTAATGTTATTAAATCTGGATTAATTATCTATTCGGTTGGCACACTACGGTAATGGATCACTGATTCAATTAGTGGATTATGGGTTATAAATTGATTGAATTAAATCCATACAAAGATATATAATAAATATATAAATAAAAAAATATGACAACTAAAATGATGTGATTTCATGGTTAGCATTATACTCACCGGAGTTACCTCCTTCAAGTCTAAGATTTGAATGCCAAAAGTATATTCTGGTGGAATATTTTGTCACAATTTTAAAAAAGGGTTCAACTAATAAACCTCTATTGGGTTAGTATCAACACTGGTTTTCAGTTCAACCGTATAGACTTATTAATCCGATTTTAATAACACTTATTATAGTTAAAAATATGAAAGAAAATAGATTACCAAAAAAAAAAAATATATGAAAGAAAATGTATTAAACATATTAAATAAGAAATTTTTTTTTTACCATTTAAGTAATTGCGTGAAAAACGAAACCAATAAATTGTTTTTTTTATAATATGTTAAAAGAAATAACCCCTAGAACCTTATTAAGCAAGTTAATAAGTTCTTTCCAAGATATTTTGTTCAAACATAAACTTGCTCACTTGTGTTTTAGCATGAATATTGGAATGTAAGTCTGAATGTGATATGCATTCGAATAATTTTATTTGCTTGGGGAGATATTATTCGACATTTTCCCCATAAAATTAAGATACAACAACATAACTAACTGTGAGATTGCGTAAATAAATTGTATAAATAAATCATTTTTGTCGTCAATTTTGGAGGGGATCAGATCCCCTAAATAAAATGGAGTTGACTAGAGTTTGCAAGCAAGATCAAGGGAACATCACCCATCCCTTCTTCGTTATATTGTTTAATTCAATTGAATATTAACACATTCCTAAATTTAAAATTTCCTCATTAAAGAGGAGCAGTTGGATCTATCTTATCACGAGGGATGGAGGTTCATAATTTTGACATAGCCTCCATTATTATTAGCAGCACTAAATACTCTTGCTACCTAAGGAAGGCGAAGCCCATTATTAATTAATGAACTCTGTATAATAGCTTGCTCTTATGTTATATACTAATATATCAGGAAATGGAGAAAAATTGGAATAATGAATTGTGTATGCGACAATGTAGGACCAATGTTCACCACGTGGCAGACAGCGACACTAACCCCTTCACTACCATGTAGGTCCCAACCCTTTAAGAGCTTAACACTTATATATTGCCCCACCATCATATATCACATGGACCATCATCACCAATGTTCACCTTTTTTTTTTTTTGAAATGTTGAAATCAAGTTATCGCTTTATAACTAGTTTGATTCGAGACGGATAGGGGTGTTAACGGGTCGAGCCGAGCCGAGTTTTGATCTTAAAAGGCTAAGCCTGTATTTAAATGTGTCAGCCTGGCCAAGTCTGTTATCTATCACGAATATAATTTCAGGCTGTGGCCTGTCTTATTTACAAAAAATGAAAGCTTGCTTTAACCTATTAAGCCTGTTTAAAAAAAAATTAAGACAACAAAAATTTATTCAAGCAAAATATGCAATCAACAGCATTAGTAATTCCATAAATATTCATAAATTTAATGTATATCCAAATAGCATAATATAAAATAAAATCATTCAAAAAGTCTGTTTAATTAATAAAATGGAATGAAATGGATTGAGGAGAGAGAGAGAGGGTTATCACAAGTAGTACAAAAAATATAAAGAATTAATATATTAGGTAAGCCTGAGAGGCTCTAAGGCCGAGCCTTTGAATTGGAGCCTTAGGCCTTTTTATTAAACGAGCTTTTATACAAGTCCAAGTCTAGGTCTAACAATCAATTTTAGACATGTAAGCTCAGGCCTTCACGAGCCGAGCTAAAAGCTCCTGACTCGTTTAGCACCCCTAGGGACGGATGTAAGATTAAAGCTTTAAACAAACTTTATGTTCATTTTCTAACTTAGCCTTACTCACAGACTAAACAATATTTAATTGATTTTGATAATTTATACCATTGAATGGTGTTTTGATTCATGGACTTTTGGAGATTACGAGCTTTATTCATTATAAGGTAATTTTTAATTTTTTCTATAAATAAAGGATTAAGCCTTCTAAATACATCCCGAAAATCATAACCTCCCCTGATGTCATTATATAACAATACCTCATGCAAGAGCACTTTTTTGATGCATCATACGAAAAAAGCAAAAACTTGGGATTTGATGAGAAATATTTAAAAATATATGAATTAAATGAAAAGAAAACTTTCTCCTTTTAAAAAAAGATATACCCATTTGGATACATCATCATGCAGCGGTTTCCTTCGTAGATACCACTAGCTCATATCCTCTTTAGAATCGAAGGAATGGTAACAACCTCAATTGATTGGGACAGTGTAGTTAGATATAACAGGGGCTTTGTGTTTTGGTTACAAGTTAAAATAGAGGCTTTAGCTTCAATGGTTTTGTTTAACAATAAAAGCAGAGGCAATATATTTAATTTATTGATGCTTAGCAAGTTATATGATGAGATGTAAGTACTCAATTATAAAAAGAATGACTCAAACGAGGAAGTTTAATGGAAGTAAAATATCACAATTCTTAAATACTGTTCGCTTGTAAAAACCACCTCCAAGGTTATACCAACCCCTTATCTGCTTTAGCTCTATTATCTCCCCTAATGCTCTCTATAATTTTGTAGAGAACTGCAAGTTGATCCTATGCAACTATACAACAACACCATCCCTGTTTTCTGGCAACAAAGTCTGCCGCAGCACCTAGCTAGCAATGGTAATAAGAAGCCATGAAAACCATGCAAAACATCCACATTTACATTTCCTTGAGGTGGTGTTTGGTTGGGAGCTTTTCAGCGGATATCTATGTTTCTCAAGTATGGCTTTTAGAAACACCATGTTTGTTTTAACGTATTTTCACTAAAAACTCATCTATCCGATTTGTATGGATTTATGAGAAACATAGATATCCGCAAGGTTTAGAAACCCAATTTGAAGCTGGGATTTTTCGGAAAACCGGTTATCTGGCTTTTAATGCACTGTTGATTTCATAAAGTTACCTAATTTTCTCAGTAAAGTTTTTTCCCACCAAACAACTTTTTTTTACATTTTTCTACCTATCTCACTTTATCTATCTTTCCAATCATTTCTCTATCTATTACATTTTCCTACTATTCCAAAAAAATTTCCTCAACCAAACGTCCCCTAAAAATGGTGCAAGTAATAACACATTAGATTTGAATAGCGGATAATGTATCATATCCGTATATGTACTAATTTAATTCTATTAGAATGTAGGGACAATGAATATCAAACTCATGACTCTATGATCATGAAAACTTTTATACCATAATAAACAATCTTCTCACATAAAATCTCAAATTGTTAAGTAAAGATTTTTTAATAATTTTATAGTTCTCAACGCATACACAAAAGATCAAATTCCGATGCAAGAAACTTCCCAAACTTATGAGGATAAGAATGACGGTGCATAAAAACAAGTTATGCTATCACCCTTGTTCCCTAATCAACTCTGCTTCCATAATCCAACAAACCCATCCTAAAAGTTAATTTGTTCCTCCAAGAATCAACTAATTACTCCATCATTTTTTCTCTCTCACACCAATCAATCCACCCATGAATACATTAATATACATCGATCTGAAAAATAAAATAAAATAAACGTAATAATTTATTCATAATTCAAACTTGCATTATCTTATAATAATAATAATAATAATAATAACAATAATAAAAATGTTAGAATATGTAAAACCCAGTTGGTCAACCTAACCTTTGCATCTGTCCAGTGTCCATGTTCATGTCCTCCTTGCTCCATTTGGGTCAACTTCTTGAATCTTCGGACCCACCTTCGTTGTTCCCATCCTTTTATATACAAAAACCAATCACCATAACGTTAATATCTCACTCCATAACAACCACCACCACCACCTTCCTCGTCATTCACCATGGACGAATCCACATTCTTCTTCCCACCTGATTCAGACCTTGACCTCAGTTTCACAAGCACCACCACCGATCGCACCTTCACCTCTTCTAGTGCTCGCACCAGCTTAGCCCGCACTAGCAGCTTAACCCTAACCCTCAGCTTCAACGATCGCCTCTCCACCGCCTCTGCCACCGCATACTCTACCGTCAACCGCCGTCCACACCGAAGCTCCGATCCTCACTGGTCCGCCATCAAGGCCGCCACCAACCTCTCCTCCGACGGCCGCCTCCACCTCCGTCACCTCAAACTCCTCCGCCACCTCGGCTCCGGCAACCTCGGCCGCGTTTTCCTCTGCCGCCTCCGCGACTACGACGGCGCCAACTTCGCCCTCAAGGTCGTCGACAAAGACCTCCTCACCGCCAAGAAGCTCTCCCACGCGGAAACCGAGGCAGATATCCTCCACGCGCTCGACCACCCGTTCCTCCCCACTCTCTACGCGCGCATCGACGTCTCCCACTACACGTGCCTCCTCATCGACTACTGCCCCGGCGGCGACCTCCACACCCTCCTACACAAACAACCAAACAACCGCCTATCTCTCTCGGCGGCGAAATTCTTCGCCGCCGAGATCCTCGTGGCGCTCGAGTACCTCCACGCTCTCGGCATTGTTTACCGCGACTTGAAACCGGAGAACGTTCTGTTACGCGAGGACGGCCACGTCATGCTCTCTGATTTCGACCTGTGCTTCAAATCCGACGTGGCACCCACGTTTGAATCTCGGGCCCACGAGCCCCACGTGAGGCCCACAGTTAGTTGTTTCAGTTGTAACAAACGGAGAAAATCTTCTCATACGGTTGCGGAGTTTGTTGCAGAGCCAACGACGGCGTTTTCTAGGTCGTGTGTTGGGACCCACGAGTACTTGGCGCCGGAGCTTGTCTCGGGTAACGGTCACGGTAACGGCGTGGATTGGTGGGCTTTTGGAGTTTTCATTTACGAGTTGCTTTACGGAACGACGCCGTTCAAGGGGTATAGCAAGGAGAGCACCCTGCGCAATATAGCGTCGAGCAAGGATGTGAAGTTCCACGTGGCAGAAAAGGAAGAGGCAGGGATGGTGGAGGCACGTGACTTGATAGAGAAGTTGTTGGTGAAGGACCCTAGAAGAAGGTTAGGGTGCGCTAGGGGTGCCACAGATCTTAAACGACACCCGTTTTTTGATGGGATCAAATGGCCCTTGATTCGGACCTATAGGCCACCAGAGGTGAAGGGGTTATTGAGGAAGAATAAATCAAATGTGGGTCACGTGACCTATAAGAGGAGGAGATGGTGGTGGAAAGGACTGGAGTATGTCATGAGGAAAAGAGGAGCTAAACATAATTTATTTTCAAACTACAGTAATAGTAATTATTATCATTATATCAATAATAATAAGATTAGGTAACAGGCAATTTTTCATCTATTTGGTTTTGTATTTTCTATGGAGTTTGTAAACATGGGAACATAGGATAGTGTGACTATAGTTTTCAATTTTCGGTGTATAATTTTTCTTGACACAGATTGACTGTTTATGAATTATAATGATACAACAAATCGATTTACCCCTTCGAATTATTTCTTCTTAAGTTTTTTTTTTTTTATATTCCTTGAGTTTAGTTATTTTGCAAATAATTTAATGTAACTTTGAACAACATAAAGACATTTTTTTTGTTTTTTTAAAATGCTCATATTAGTGGGGCTCATGTTGGGGCTTATGATCGTTTTAAACATCACATTAGGGGTGTGTATCGATCAGGTCGGGTCAGGTTTTTGTGCTGACTCGACCCAACTTGATTTTTTATAGGTCAGGTATTTTGACCCGACCCGCTTTAATTTGATCCAAGTCACGTCTGACTTGGTTTGAATTTTTTTGAACTAGTTCAGAACTGGATCGGGTCTGACTTGAACTGGTTTCTGAAGTGGATCTGACTTGGTTTCCGAAGTGGATCAAATCTGACCTGACCCATTTTTGACTTGGTTTCGTCACAAAATTTTGTCGAAATTCTACGTTGCAAACGACGAAAATTTCGTCACTAAATTATTTTTTCGTCAGAAAAGTTTTGTCGAAAAGCGACGAAATTTTTTCTCTAATGAAAATTTTTACAAAAATAAATTTTCTATCGAAATTTAGTTTCCGTCAAAAGTTTTGACGAAAATTATTTCCTCCATCAAATGTTTTAAACGAAAAAAGAATTCCGTCAAAAAATTTGACGGAATGTTTTTCGTTCAAAATTTCGATAGGAATGTGTTCTGACGAAAATTTCGACGAAAAATGTTTTGAGGGAAATGTTTCATTCGAAACTTTCGACGAAATTTAGATTCTCGATAGAATTTAGACAGAATATTTTTCCCGTCAAAATTTTTTATCGAAATATTTTGTGTCAAAAAATTTTACATAAATTTTTTTACAGAAATGTGTTCAATTGAAAATTTTGATGAAAATATTTTTTATTAAAAAACTTGAGGAAAATATTTAGTCAAATTTTTTTATGGAAATGTATTTCGCTAAAAATTTCAACTTTTTGTCAAAAAGTTTAACGAAAATGTTTTCGTCGAAAACTTTCGCCGAAATTTGAATTATGTAAAAAATTTTGATTAAATTTTTTTCCGTCAAAAAATTTCGATGGAAATGTGTTTCGTCGAAATTTTTGATGAATATGTTTTTTTGTGAAATATTTTGACGAAATTTGGATTCCGTAAAAAAATTTGATAAAAACATTTTTCCGTCAAATTTTTTTACAGAAATGTTTTTAGTCACAAATTTTGGTGAAATTTTTTTTCGCCTTTTGAGGAAAATATTTTTCGTAAATAATTTTGACGTAATTGTTTTACGTTAAAACTTTTCTTTTAATGTAATTGTGAATTTTTTTCACATATGGGTATGGGTCAAGTTTTGGGTCAATGGTCATTATTAAAATAAGTCAAGTCTAAAACTGACTAAAATAAAAGTGGGTCAGTATTTAAACCCAGTTCAAAAAAAGTAGGTATTGATGGGTCAGGTCAAGGTTAGATCAAGGATAGAGCAAGTGAACCAGTTTTTTTGCACACCCCTACATCACATGACGCTCACATGCGTTAAAGGACCTATTTGCATATTTTTAATGTATCATAATCAAAGTGCATATCAGGCAAAATTAAAGGGTGTTTATTGGATTTTTTTTCTATAAACTTGTATCATTTAATTCTTTTTTTTAATACGTATCATTTAATTCATGAACCATTAGATTAGATTTGAGAAGAAAGTTCAGTATAGTTAAATGTTAGAAATTTCATATATTTCACTCAACTAAATGTTATATTTTACTTCATGAACTTTTAAATAATATGACTATTGTATTGCACTTGGAAAATGAAAAAACATCAATTTACAAAAAAAAAAAAAAATGAAAAAACATCCGAGAACATTTGGAGTAAAGAAAAAAAAGTGAACCTTTGGACATAAACACATAATATATGATGTCATATACACAGTACATGTAGCATCCCAATTAATTAGAAATAAATATATAAATAAATAAATAAATAAATATATATATATATATATATATATATATATATATATATATATATATAGAGAGAGAGAGAGCAAGAGAGATATCATTTGACTCTAGAGTAAGATTTATAAGTCTTACTCCCCATCTTAGCCGTTGATTTCCGTCCATCCAACGGTTATAGTTTAGGAAATTATATTAATTAATTAATTATTAATTACATTATAAATGATAACCGTTGATTTCCGTCCATCAACATGGGGAGTAAAACTTAAAAGTCTTACTCTGGAGTCAAAAGAACCCTCCCCGTATATATATTTAACTCTCAGTACTGAAATTTTAAAATTTAACTATTATTGCTTATACTTTATCGCTAACTATTAAAATAATTAACTCTTAGTACTGAAATTTTAAAATTTAACTATTATTGCTTATACTTTATCGCTAACTATTAAAATAATTAACCCTCCCGAATATGTTTATCGCTAACTACTAAAATAACACACACACTCACACTTATTGCTTATACTTTATCGCTAACTATTAAAATAATTAACCCTCCCGAATATGTTTATCGCTAACTACTAAAATAACACACACACTTATTGCTTATACTTTATCGCTAACTATTAAAATAATTAACCCTCCCGAATATGTTTATCGCTAACTACTAAAATAACACACACACACGTGGAGTTTACATTTTTGCTGCACGTACACACATGGGAGTTTACATTTAGTTTACATTTTTGCAGCTACTGTATGTGCAGCAATCTGGAGTTTACATTTTTGCTGCACGTACACACATGGAGTTCATATTTAGTTTACATTTTTGCGGCTACTGTACGTGCAGCAATCAAATACTTGACATATATATGCTTGAAAGCATTAAATGTACACACACACAGATGGAGTTTACATTTCTGCAGCTACTGTACATGCAGCAATCAAATACACACACACACACACATGGAGTTTACATTTCTGCAGCTACTGTACGTGCAACAATCAAATACTTGACATATATATGCTTGAAAGCATTAAATGCACACACACACACATATGTAGTTTACATTTCTGCAGCTACTGTACGTGCAGCAATCAAATACACACACACACACACGGAGTTTACATTTCTGCAGCTACTGTATGTGCAACAATCAAATACTTGACATATATATGCTTGAAAGCATTAAATGTACACACATATGGAGTTTACATTTCTGCAGCTACTGTACGTGCAGCAATCAAATACTTGACATATATATGCTTGAAAGCATTAAATGCGAAGAATCATAACCATACAAAGGATGAAAGCATTAAATTTGAAAAATCATAACCATACACCTGTCGTTGCTGTACATAAAGCGATTGCAGAAATAATTTTACTTATATATATATATATATATATATATATATCAAAGTATATTATCATAAGACTTTTTTTAATACATAAGGAGGGCTTAAAGCCCAGAGAACAAACAAAGAAAAACCAGAAAAAAAACAAAACAGAAACAAAGATGCAGCAAAGTGAAACTAATTAACCAGGTCTTATACATCACACCAAACATGTCCTTATGCGTCTTACTCTGGAGTCAAATCATATATATATATATATTAAAAAATTTGATAGCTAAACCATATTGTTATTTTGGCCTTAATTGCGTGACCATAAATGAGATTTCTTATTCACTTATGAAAGAAAGAGTGTACATTAATTGTGCATCTTGGAAATGCTGCGTCCAAAAATATGGTGTCTACAACTCAATTAGGAGCCAGACAAGAAGAAAATCCTTCATGGATATCTATGAACATTTATTAATGGGCATTAATGATTTCCTGTGTCGTATAAATGAAGTTAGGACATATGAAGTGGTGTAAGTTCAGAGTTGTCAAAAAGGGCTCAGGCCTAGGGCCAGCCCATGTAGTCTCATGTTAAGCCTTATAAAATTTTAGTTCTTTATGTAATAAGGTTATTTTAACCTCATCCTCCTAAAGCTCTCTTATTATAGGGTTAGGTTGGAGCTGGCCGCGAGCTACAATATTCAACCCAATTTGTAACTTCCTTCTTTGACACTTTAAACTCTCTGATTGGAACGCAACACAGACGGTTGAGAACTGAACTCAGCTCCTGCACAACACATACAATTCTTCTTTGATTCTAAATTTCTCTCTCTCTTGATTTCTCTCTCAGTTGCAGCTGCACCATGAAATCTACCAGAGAAAAAGATGACGATCGCACTTGGCATATGCACACCCTCCATCACTGTCTTCTTCATGCCTTAGACCTTGGCACCAGGTATCAGCGTAGAAACATCGGACCACCCACTGTCGCTTAAGGCATGAGAGTATACATTTGTTCTTTTCTCGTTCCACCCACTATCGCTTAAGGCATGAGAGTATGATTTGTTCTTAAAATATGTTTTTTTTTTGTTTTTTTTATTAGAACAAGTTTTAAAAAGAATGGATTTGTTGATAAATTAAAATATTAGTAAGTTGAAAATTTTAGTATAGTAAATTATTGGTAAATGAATAATTTTGAAAACCGATTTATATCAACAATAATTTTTTTTAAAAATAAAGTAATATAAGTAACATTTTTCAAGTGTTGAATACTATATTTATTTTTTCTTTCTAATGATTTTTATGCACCATTTTATTAATTTTTTTTTAAAATACATATTATTTTTCTAGAAGGCTCGTGGGCTGGCCCTAATTCATAGGGCTTTGGCCCGTGAGGATCTATATCATTGTGGGCTTTTTGGTCCTAACTCGCTTGGACTAGGGCTAAATGGGCCGGGCTGACCCTTTTTGACAGCTCTAGGTGTAACAAAGCCCATGGACTCAATTTTGGAATCTGTCTCTTCTTAAAAAAGAGTGGAGATATTCTAACTACCAAAAATATTTACTACTA